GCTCTGGAATTTGTTGTTGCTGCTGTGTGGTTGTTTTCTTTCGTTACTGGTCTGCTGTTATTGTTGTCTTGGTGTACACGTTGTTGAACTTGTTGTCGCTTTTTGCTGGTCGTGGTGGTATCGTCACAACAGGTCCAGTAAACTTTGATCTATTTTCAGCCAGTTCCTCCTCTTCCGGTCTCTGTCAGTGTTTCTCGAGACGCGAAGGAGTGAGTCTCCTTGGTCACAAGCCAACCTATTTTAGTGTTAGTTTAGGATCAAGACAAGAGAGGCAAAACGGAAGAGGAAACCCGCTGCTTGCGAAACACACCTACAGCACAAGAACAGAACAAAAACAAGGGGTTTTAGAAAATCACCGAAAAGGACGAGGAGACCATCGCTCCAAACCCACCAGCCGAGGGAACAACGCCGACTCGCGATTATTATAGCGCTCGGTTTCTGTTTTGTCCGTTCCATCAGCCGGTACGCAAGACTGATTATCTCGTCCTCCTTGCTACGGGTGTGTTGTGTGTTTTGTGCTACCGTATCCCACAGGAGGCGGACGGGACCGAAGAAGAGGAGGAAGAGGATATCTGCCTCGTCTGCTGCGAGGTGCGCGATCCGGACAGGATCCTCCGGTGCTCCAGTTGCTCCGGGGGGGGCAGCGGCATGGGGATATACCACAACGAGTGCCTCCCGAAGCCCCTGGACTCCATGCCCGCTGAGGGTGAGGTGAGAGAACGGTCCGGCGGCATTTTACTCATTTGCATTGTTGTCGTTTGCTTGTATTATAGTTGTTGTCGTTGTTGTTGGTGCTGTGGTCGTTATGGTTGTTCCCCATTTTGTGATCATGCGAAACGGATGAGAGGGGGAGTCATCGTGCGTCATTGTGATTTATCCCGATCGGCAATTCGTTCGTGGAAGTATCTCTTTCGTCTCTCTGGGGTTGGCTGCTGAAGACTCAATCGTTATGAGCAACATGTCCTTGACCCCCCCGCCCCCTCGTTCTCTTGACCGTACAAAGACGTATTTAGCCATCCATGCTAAAGCTGCTGGTTGTGCGTTTCGCTTTGTTTTTATTTTCACCGATCGGCTTGTCGGTGTCTGAACGATACGACGGCAATCTTCCACATCTCTTCTCCCACCCCTTTCATTCAACTCTTCTTCCGTGAACGGAAGAAGACAACGACGCTACTACAATACCACCGTTTGTTTGTGCGTTGAATGGCCTGGAACTGTAGAGCGCCTAGCTTGTCTCGCAATGTCTCACCCCAAGGCCGAACCTGAACCCCCCCCCCCTTCCGATCTCCCTCCCTTTCTCCTCACGAAACGGTATACTCAGTGGGTGTGCCCCCGCTGTGTCACCAAGAAACGAAAACATGGGGGTTCTGGCGCGGGAGGCTCCAAGTCCACAGCCGGCAAGAATAAGGGCGGCGGCAAGGACGGTGGAAGCAACAAGTCCGCCGCCGCCGCCGCCGCCGCCGCAGCAGCAGCAGCAGCAGCAGCAGCAGCAGCAGCAGCATCAAAAAAGAGGAAAGTTTCCTCTCGGGGGGGTGGAGGTGGCGGTGGTGCGAGCGGGGGCAGGGAAGAGGGGGGCGGGACGAAGAAACCACGGCGAGCGTGGTCGGCGAGTATGGAGGCTCTGCTCGCCACCGCGGTCAAGAAGGTGCAGTAGCCGCCGCCTCCGGGAGGCGCCATTCCTTGTTTGCGAGACCATATGTTGAAAAGAACAAAACACCCTGTCGAGGAAAGCGTGAAAATGCATACGCTTACCGATAAATGATTTTGGAGAGTTTTTTTTGCTGTTAGTGTGCTGCCTCCTCATTCTGTTATCAAAATACAATCTGTTGTTTTTGAAGAAAAGCTCCTTTTCTTTTGCGCCATGTTCAACAAATCATCTCTTGCTTGTAAAAGAAACACCTGTTCTTTTGTGCCAGCTTCAACGCTTTCCTTCGTTCGGGCGTTTTTTATTCCTAAGCAGGTGGGCGCGGGCAAGTGGAAGGAGATGGAGGAGGACCCCGAGTTCGACTTCGAGGGCATGCCGGCAAACGCTCTCAAGCAAAAATGGAGGACTCTCTCCCAGAAGCGGCGCAACTGAGCGGGGAGGAAGCGTTTGTTTTTCTTGGTCGATCGATCTACTGCTGTGTGATGGAATGATCGGCAAATTGTTTTGTGGAGATCACACGTGTGTCGTGACGTTCTAGGTCGTCGAACACACGTGTAAACCAATGAGGAACCCGGATGGGTCTCACGGCGGAAGGAAGCCTGCCTCACGACACCCTCAAATTTTTTACGAGGTAGGTCCCCAGCGGAGAATGGAGGAGTCCTTGTAACCGTGATGAGTTTTGGACCTACCGACGGAGTCTATCGTTCCATCGAGAGCGTGGTCGTGTGGAGGCTACAGGGCAGGGGGGCGTGGATTATAATATAGTAGAGGTCCCTGTTGAGTGCCGGTTGAACAGTGCCGGTGCCCGGAATAGTGCCGGTGTTTTCAGCGGGCACACTCTGAATTCCCAAGTAATTATCAATGCTTTGACTAGTGCCGTTGAATTTTCTGCACAGGGGCCTCTACTGCTGTACTGACAGAGTTTTTGGATGACGTCGGTATCGAGAAAACCTTGGGCTCGCTGGACGCCGCTGCAGCCGCATCGCGTGAAGATTGAGGGTGCATGAGCATGGCCGTTGTTTCGATTCCTGGGGTGGGGGGGTGCAGACATCGGGCTGCCCACTCGTTGGTCGATGTTGGAGGGCATTGTGTAGAACCCCTCCCTGGTACTTGAGCACTTTACCGTCAGCGCAACACTTTTGGTGATCGATGGGCAATCGGAAAGGGCGACTGGGGCGGGGCTAGTTAGATGGCTGCCGTTCCACGAGGCGATCACGCCTCGTGAAGGACAGTGCAAGTTGTAATTTAGTGGGCAGTCACGCTTGGGGTTCAGCGGGGAACGCTTTTTTTGCAAGCGGGGATTAGTGTAGAACAGTGTCTGTGTGATGATTTGAAAAATAGGATGTTAGTGTTTCTGTAGTTTTTTTAAGCGTCCATCGCCAAGGAACGAAGCTTTCTAGCGCCAACATCAAGCAGCGAGTGCTAATTAGAACTCGGGACTCGTGAATTAGAAGGGGAAGCAGTTTGCACTGGCGGCGTTGTTGGGCCCCGGACGGGGTAACAACACAACAACCACCAAAACCGGATCAGGCGGCCGTCGTCGTCAACGTGAAACGATCAATTTGCACTCTGTGTGCTACGCAAAAAAAGAGCCATTAACCCTTCGTCAACAGATCTTCTATGTAGCAAACAACTAGCACCTTCGAATGTCGAAACCACCGCCACCTCGCGCCATTTTACCCCGACGACATACTACCCAGCCTTTGAGAGATATGGACGGAGAGACACCCAAGTGCATGGCAACTACACAGCGTTGCTGCTAAACGTCGGAAGTCGCCGATGATAGGTCGCTGCCGCGCTGTTCGCGAGACGCCGGTAGGCCGACACGACGGCCCGTTTCCCGTGGGCGGCCGCCTGGCGGAGCCTTAGCTTGAGCTCCTCGGGGGGATGTAGCATCCCCACTCCCATCCGATCGGCGTCCATCGATTGCGCCGCGATGGCTCCAACGTAACGTATGGAAGGCGGCTTGTTCGACCTGCCGCCGCCGCCGCTGCCGCCGTCGTCGTAGTTGGTCGGCCTGAAACCCTCCGCGCAAACACCCGGACTGGAAGTGCGCAGGCTGTGACCACCACCGGTAAGCTCAGAAAACGGTTGCTGCAAGGGCTCCGGCCGGCCGTTGGCCGCGAGCTCCCCTGCCTGCCCGAAGGCGAATACGCAGAACCGTAGGGGGTCGACCGCGCCGAGCACCGTCGGGACCGGCCGGACGTCCCACGACGCCTCCTCCTCGTCCAAAGCCCTGCCTGCAACAACCTCGCCGTAGACCGTGAAGCTTGTCGCGAACGGCACGGCCAGGGTGAGTGATGCCGCGAGGAGGAGAAGCCCCTCTCGCGCCAGCGCGGCGGCGTGCTTCCGGAGCCCGGCGCGGTGGTGGTGGGCGTGCCCGGATGCGCCAACGGAGGCGACGAGCGCGACCCACGCCGAGGCGACGAGGTACAGCGGGCCTCGGGCGAGGCCCTCGAGCACGGCGAGCGGGGCTTCGCAGAGACAGCCGTGCAAGAGCACGGACCACGCAAAAGCACGTGACGTATCATTTAGAACGGACGGAGAGCTGCTGCTCGAGGTTGCTTGCGCATAATCATTGTGGTTGTAGAGCGGGAGACGCCGTGCGGATTGTAGAACGGCCCCGGTTTGGTGGTTAGTGCGATGCTTGTTGTTGAAGTCGTTCTCGTGCAAGTGGCTAGTTGTACTTCCGACCACCTGGTGGTGGCGATGAGGTCTCTGACTGGTACCAATATGATCGCTTTCGCCGTCATAGCCAGGTGCAAGCTGCTCTGCTGAAGAAGAGCTCCTTCCGTGAAAGCCTGCCCTCGTTGGTGCCAAAAGGCGCATGTCTTCTGCAGAGCTACTTGCAGCACTGTTGGTACGGTGTGTCCTCGCTCTTCCGCTGGCTGCTCTCTGATTTTCCTTGAAAGGCCGGCGCGCCAAGGTCACTCGTGCTGGCGTTGGCGTTGACGCAGGTTCTGTCATTGACGCCGTTTTGCCTCGGAAAGCGGCATCAAACGCCTCCCATTCGCTCTCGCCATCGTCGTCGCTACTGCTGCTGATGCGTGGGCCGCTGTCGACCGAACCGCTAAACCGGACGCTGAGTTGTTTGTCTTCCTGCGGGTGGCAGCAACAACACACAACAAGGGTAAGGCCGCTGTCCATTAGCCATTGGTTCTTACGTGCACAAGCTTTTGAGTGTTCCGGTGCCTCATTGCGTCACACTCCACGTGATCGGCGGCTTACACAGAGAGATGTCACTCACCATTATTTCGAACGTGGCAGCAAGATTTTATTTAAACTTTTCATGCAGGAATATCTTTCTTGGTGTGTTGAATCCACGGCTTGGAACCTTGAGCCAAATCACCCAGGCGTTGAACAGGCGCAACGCAAAGCGTCCTGAACACAACAGACGTGTAGGTGTAGAGATGGAAGCCCCGTCTCCTCTCTCGCGAGTGCTCGCGCGTAGAGTGTCGTCGTCGATCATGATTTATTTCTTCTCAGAGCGGCCACACACATGGGACTCTGGGAACCCGGGGGGTGGGTCGGGGGGGGGGGGGGG